TTTTTTAACATATTATTCTATCTACTATCATAATACTTTTTTATTTTCAGATTCGTGTAAAACCAGATAAGACGGGCGTTGTAACGGATGGAGTGAAACACTCCATGAATCCCTTCGATGAAATTGCAATTGAAGAAGCTGTACGAATGAAAGAGAAGAAATTGGTACAGGAGGTAATTGCAGTTTCATGTGGCCCCCAGCAATCTCAAGATACGATTAGGACAGCTCTTGCAATGGGTGCTGATAAAGGAATTCATGTTGAAGTATCTGGAGCTGAGTATGAAACTCTTCAGCCTATTCACGTATCGAAGATTCTGGCTAAGTTGGCTCAGGAGGAGAAAGCAGATTTGATAATTGTTGGTAAACAGGCTATAGATGATGATAGTAATCAAACAGCTCAAATGATTGGGGGAATCCTAGATTGGCCAACTGGAACATTTTGCAGTAAAGTACGTTGGCTCAAACTAAACTTCAATCAATACAGACTAGGAGCATTTTAGATCATCCACTTAATTTATTTTATTTTCTATAATAGATCGAGAAAACTGATGGTGAGTTGAACATCACGCGTGAGGTTGACGGAGGTTTAGAGGTGATTAAAGTAAAAATACCAGCAGTACTAAGTGCCGATCTTCGCCTTAATGAACCTCGTTATGCTACACTGCCAAACATTATGAAAGCTAAGAAGAAACCAATTAAGAAACTGACACCAAAGGATCTTGGTATCGATACGGCAGCAAGAATTGAGATTGTGTCAGTTGAAGAGCCGGCAGTTAAACAGCCTGGTGTTATAATACCAGATGTTGACACACTAATTGCCAAATTAAAAGAACGTGGACATATATAATTATACAGTGGATTAAATATATCAATATTAAGTTGAAACTATTTTATATAATGTACTTTATATTTGTTATACTCTTTATTGAATTTGTATATAGAACAATTTTTTATACATCACACGATGCTGTACATTATATGTGAATAAATCTTTTCTGCATCAAATAAAGTAGTAGGGTCCCTTCACGATATAACTGAGATTTATAATCAAATAACATCTTATATATATTTATCTCTTTGGTAAATAACATTATTTTTCTATTTCGATTTTGTACTTCTACTCTTTTTAAATGCTACTTACGTCTTCTACTATTTCGTTTTGTACGACCTATGGAAGAATTTTATTATTTACCGATTTTTAAATCAACTTTCATATGTACACCGTACACCTTCCTCCAACAGAATAAATCTAAGTACATTGGCAATAAACCTTGTCTGAGTAATACAACTTTTACGTGCGTACATAATTTCAACTTATAATCAGCAATATTATATACATAATCATACATATTAAAAATTCTTACTTCATTAAAATTTAAATCAATAAGAAATTTACATAATAATCATCTGAACTATAGAATTAACATTAAGGCAAGTTATATAACGAATACTTGTAAATGCACTATTGATATTCTTTTCTCATTACAAATATTACACGTTGTTTTACTAACAATTTCATCGAACCCCAGTACGAAATCTACGAGAATATGTCTCCTTTAAAAATTATCCTAAAATATTAACTTTTATACTCTCTTTTAAAGACACATAAGTTTCTTATCAAAAATGTAAAATTAAATGTCAATACCCGTATTTATTTTTCTACAAAATTAATTCTAAGTACTGTATAATCGTCTGGTATTTTTCATTATATTATAAATAACCCAAACCAAAAAATAACTTGATCCTCTTCCTTTAAAACATGTTCCAAAAGAAACTAACAAAATTGTATAGAATACTAATTGTATGAAAAACAGTCTTTTACGATCAATTTACTTCTGTATCTTAAAAGACAGAAAGAGGGGAGCAATATCTGAAATATGAATTATAATAATACTTTCCAGTCAAACCTGGTATTACTGGTATGAGTGATAGGTGGAAACGGCGGCGGGTGCAGTTGCCAGCCGTCTAAACCTTCACGTGCCGTGAGGCACGCTAAGTACGGCACTTTTTGAGCTAATCTAGTTACCTCGGAAGCTGGTGGCACTCTACCACCCGTTAATTGTCTAGTACATGCTGCCAGAGAGGCAGCGTGAGCTACTATCAAAATATTTCCTACCGTGTTCTCGATAATCCGTTTGATTAACTCGAAACTTCGTTCATAATACTGGGCTGCATTCTCTTTCAATGGAAGCTCTTTTGCTTTGATTATCGGGTCGTAACTTTTGTCTATATTAAAACCTGCATTCAACAATTCTTCGGACGTCATCCAAACTGGAACGCCATTCGGGTACCACGCCAACCACTCGATGAGACCTGGCTCTATTTTCATTGGAATGTTTAAGTCCAGTCCTTTCAAGATATGAGCCAGCGTTTGTATACATCTCAGCGACGGAGACGTAAAAGCCACGTCTATTTTGATGCTAGACGACTTCATAGCATCGCCTACCAAGCTCGCCTGCACTTCGCCCACTGTCGTTAAAGGGCTATCGTTTCGGAAGTCCTGTATATTTCTTGTCGGTATTTCCTTTGGCATGTTCAAGTCTCTCCGTACATAAGACCCATTCGATTCGAAACAATAGCGGATCCATGCTCCGAACGTAAAATCAACTCTTTCTCCGTGGCGGCATATGAAAATTTGTCTCGACGAAGTCGGAAGTGCTTCAGAAGCCTCGATCTGCTTAAGTAAAGGCAAGCATTAAAATTAGAATTTTTATATTATACCAGATAAAAGCCAAATGACTTACTGGTTCATTGGTCGCCGCTACTCCGTCAGGACTATCTACAGAATCGTTCGATAACAATACTGGCGGTTTACGATTTAGAGGTATATCTTTTTTTTCTAAAATTTCATTCTTATTGTCAGTAATTTGTATCGTAGTGTGCAACGTCCATGAATCTGATTCGGTTGTACGTTTTGTATGATTTAAAGGTAGATGGCCCGAAATTCCAGTCAGCCAAGAGGTACCTTCGACCCAGCCGTCTGTAGATATATTACATGCCCCCTCTGGAATGTAAATATAATCTCCCACTCTTAATTCTAATTCATCGTGTTCTCTAGGCATATGAGCATGTGTTACTTTGTGCACGTGTGCGTTCTGCAATCTACAGTCTCTAGAATACAATCTGAGCTCCCAGTTCGTCGGGCAAGTGAGCGTCAATTTTTCAACCATCAAACGCAACTGTTGATACAAATGGCTGGGGAACTGATACGCCAATGTCAGATGTAAAGATTTTATTTGGGGCTCAGCAGAGATTCCCAAACTTGAAAGTTTATTCGTATAACGAATAGCAATGTGCTTCAGCCACTCTGTATCTCCTTGTTTGACAAATAAACCCATAAAATTGGGAGAAATATACGTTTCTAATTCGATATTATCTGGTAACTTCATTTGATTAATTACAGTTTCAAGAGTGTTTACTAGCTCCTCGGTAGATTCATCTGGGGCCTATAAATAATTCTGATTAATACATTGCTGCATTTACCAATTAGGAGAAGGTACAGGTAGTGTCGTACTTTAAAAAATGATACAAGTGTAATATGTGGGATATAATTGTGTGCACCATTCCATATAAGTTCTTTACTCTCAGACCAGAATCTCACAAGCTGTTCGGCTAATTCACCAGTAGGGCAAGCATATAGAACATACTGTCTGTGATTATCTGTATCCACAGTTGGATCTCTGACGTGAGCTACCAACCAGTCAGATGCAAGTTGAACACCACGATGTCCTGTAGCAGCTAGTGCTTTTTCTCTACAAACAACATTTATCAATATTATTATAAATATTATACAATTCTCGCGAATGTGTCTAATCATTTCTTACATAACAAAAATGTAGATGTTCTATTATGTATTCTATATGTGAGATGTTCTGTTTGATAAGCATATTATTTTACTGCAGCATAAAAAAATGTGACAATAAAATGATGTGCACATTATATCTCCGGATCAAGTCCGAAGAATTTAGGAGAGACAATTGTATTTTAATAAAATAGATAAACAAACAATGGTAAAGCTCAGTGTTTGACAGCTGTTTGTTTACAGTGTACTCATTGTTATCAGTTTGAAGTATTCATAGAATACCAAAGGGGCATCGACAGCATTTTATAATTTTACGATAGTACTCACGCCCGGTGTTTCGGGAAGCCCAACTGTACAAGCGTTTGCAGCGGGGTTAAATGTTGTTTCAAAATTTTCGTTGGAGTCGGATTTTTTCGTGGCGGTAACGTCGCCATGACGGTACATACACGCACACGCAGAGGGCATGTACTATATACACTCCCTTCCGGAATATATCCCCACTACCTCGTGGGTATATAAAAGGAAGAGAAGCGCGCGGCACGGGTGGCACGAAAGCGAAAGATGCCAGATTGAGGACGGGAGCCACCGAGAATCAGCACTGTGACTGTGGCACCGGCCTTGTACTCGCGGGCCACGTGGCCAAATCCACCGGTTAAATCGCCGGTCACCACGTTCAATAATATACTCACAATCAAATATACTCGATGATACATATCCTTGTAATCGTAATAATAAGTATCATCGAACGGAATCGGACTTTAATACGTTATATTAGATAGGGAAGAGAATATTTGTGGAAATAAAAAAGACGAGGATGAAATTATTATCAAATAGTATAATTTAGAGAAACACTTTAATAGAACATGAAATTTAAGAGTTAATATCTCGCCTTTATTTCTGCTCTCATCAACTTACCATCGTTTCAATTTGGATTCCTAATTCTATTTTCAGATCTTCCCCTCCTGAAATAAAATAAAACGAAAGTAAAAGTTTCGAAACTATATGCGTCACTTCCGCTAAGAAACAGTGGCTCAGAAGTGTACAAATTCAAAAAGAGACGATAGATACGTATAGTCAGAGATTACTAAACAGTCGCAGCATTATAGGACTTTATAGCAATTCTTGACGCCCTTTAGAATATACTGTCACCGAAATAAGAAATAGAAAGAAAAATATTCGTCGGTGTTGAACAGTTGCCAGATATAAGAAAAGTCTTCTGCAATTTCCTCCTAACTCTACTCGTTGAGAAATAATTGGCGATAAGCGCAATAATTAATCAATTAATTTTAAGGTATTCAAGATAGAAGAAAATTGTATGTGACTTTTTTTGCAGGTAATAGAAGTACCTATAACTTTTA